ATAGATATTTTTTTTTCGTAAATATATACATATTATACATAGAAAACACCCAGACTGATACAAACAATCATACGCATGAATACAAATGTTTGTGCCGTGCGACGAATCGAACCCGCAACCATCGGACGTAAAGCGGTGTGCTAGACCGCCAGACCACCGAGGTCGTCATTTGGTCAGGTTTATATGAATAATAATACCTACATGTACACCCGTACGAAGCGGTGCGTTCAGCTAGTATATAATAAAGAGTTATAAAAGATTTATGGTTGATTTAGTAGTTTCTTTAATTATGATGGAATTTAGTCTCCGTAATGTCTATTATTTTTATTACAAAGAATAACTCTAATAAATGTAAGTATTCCATTTTGGGTAAATTTCATTAGAATCTAAATAAAGACTTATTTAAATGAAACGTTTAAATGTTGGTATGTATTTTTTTTATATATTTATTATCTAATGAGACATGAAATTCTTTATTATATGCAAAGAATTTAGTAGCGGTTTATTTATATATGTGGCATCACATAAATTCTCACTGAAATATAATCGAGGCACTTATTTTTCAGTGAGATTTCAGTGCTTTTTCTCTACCCCAAAAATACTGAGAGTGTCTAAAAACCTTTTCTTCAAATTTTTGGTATATAAGACAGCAATATGTGGGTAGGATATTCCACCCTTAACCTAACCCTATTTACGTATGCGCAGCGGTCGCACAAGGATTCGTTCATGTCATCGGGTAGCCAAATATCATGGTTTCTCTACAGGCCTTGAACCCAAGGCAACACGTGGTGGAGTCCTACTGAATACCAAATCATGTTCACGCTACTCCTTAAAGCTTGTATGCGGGTAGCAAGCAATATTGCACCTTATTGCTACCCAATAGAGCAGAAAATGCAAAGTTATTAAAAGTTTGTAGAGGAATTTCCATGTAGGGTTATAACAGTAGGTGTAATGTTCCGATTTTATTTGGATATCTTAAAATATAATTATTATATTATTTTGCTTCGTGTGTTATTTGTTGTGTTTAATAACAACAGATTATAACACACAAAAACACTAATAACTGTCAAAATCAGTCGTGTTTACAATTACAAATTATGAAACCAAAATTATAGATGTATAAATACACTTTTTTATAAGCTTAACTTGTAATTTAATTCATATATTTTTATTGTTTTTTTGTATTTTGTATAGTGATGGTTCTTTCGAAACGAATCATTAAGAACACTGCGAAAAAAAGTAATATTTCAGAAAAGTAAACAACTATTTTATTCGCGTTTGACATTTGTCTTATTTGGTGACAGTTCGTGTATTCAATAAAACAGAACAATGTCTATCAGGTCGGCTAGGTAACAATGAAATTTCCTTCAGGTGACAACCCTACAGATGGGTACTTGTTGACCGTACGAGCTAACATTGCACCGGCGTACTTCCACGAATGTTAACTAACAGCCGCCGTCGAGAGGTTAATGTAACAGCTTAGCCCCGTTCTGTCGCCGAAAACAATGTCGCCGCCATTTTGTCCTTTTTTCATCTGAACAAGGAAACTGCGCACGAAAGTTTCGTACTTTCCATGTTATGCACGAGTTTTGTCTTTGTACTATTGTAGCACCTATATCGCTTAATTATCCATTGCGTGACTACATTTTCAGTGAATCCATTAAGTTGATTATTACAATTGAAGCCTCTTACGTTAATTATTAAATACGTACCAATACTAAATATCAACATATTTATTATGTGAATTAATTTACATGTAGTTTAAGCATTATCATATTTATGAAAAATGAGACTGAATTATATCCATGTCAGTTATATTCCCAGAAATCTTTTATTGTTACTTAGAGAAATATATTTACGTCTAGTATTTTTAGACCCTAAGTAGATAGAGATAGATCTTAATTTAATTTCGTAGAAGTTTCATAGAGTACAAAGTTGAATAGCTTTCTGAAAGTGTTTATGTAGGGGAATTTGTCGATTTACTAGTATTTTTCACGATTTCGACTACGTAACCCAAATGTAATGGCAGATTATATAATCTACGTCTTTTAGACGAAGTAAATCTTCTTTTATTACTTCAAATGGAATAACCATAATAAATTTCCTAACAATTAGAGTAACATTTTATTTAATTTTGAATTAGTTAAATTCTCAAGTAGTACTTACAAGTAATTTAAAATACACAAATCACTTTTACATTTATCAATAACAATTAGTATATACTTTAAGTAAACTTAGTTCAAATCTATTTCACTCTAAATAGTGAAAGGGTAAAAAACAATTAAGATTAATTTTTCAAAATGGCGTCATCACCGAACACTCTAAACGTAATTCGATTTATTTTAAATCAGCGCTAAAGTGCTTTAAAACATTTAAAAGGTTGCAGTCAAAATTACATTAAAGCGTTATAAAAGTTGCGCCAAGTTTCGCCCCGTGATAAATGACAAGTTAAACTGTTGGCAACACAGGACCGCGTGGTTGGCACCGGATAACTTAAAGCCTTTTTATTAAAAATATGTACTATTGTGCAACTTAAAACTATAGATTAAATAAGAAGAACGATTGGAATTGGGTTATTCTGATGAATTGGTTGTATTTGCGGTTATTTGGGAGTCTTTATAAAAGTTGTCTAAAGTTTCTCACCCTGATAAATAAAACGTTAAATTGTTGGCAACTCCTGTGTTGTGACGTGGTTGGCACGGGTATTTAAAAACCCTTTACATAATCTATTGATATTAAAAATATATACTATTGTGATATCGAATATATATTCTATTTAGGACGTTGGATTAAAATTCATTTAATGATGATTTTATTGCTTTATTCTAAGTAACATTACATAGAATATTATTTTGAGGGGTCGTACAGTAAGTAATTAAAAATATAGTAATTTTTTTAAATATTTTTTTAGAATGGTGAACTTTAATATTGGCAAATAAAGTGAGATAAATCCATATTCAACAGAACAAGGAAGTTCACATAAAATCAATAAAAATAAATATTTATTATACATAAAATATAAAATATGGGGAGTGGAAATATAAACATAAAAAATGCGTCAATAAGATATCCATATGCATATAAATATATATTATAGGGTCAAAATATGTGTGTTTGCGAAGCGAGCGCCGCCTAACGGGGATTTCACCCTTGTTTTTTTAGCTTGTTTGCTGAAGACGCATCTACATGCGGCCCGCGCCTACGCAAACATACAGTGTAAACAGACCCTTATGAACGGTTTTATTAAACCGCCTATGTCATAGTGAGCGTTATTTAAAACCGTAAGGTTCCCTGATTGACATATATACGACCTCATTTATCAATTAACTTTTGTCTATACTATCAGGTACATACGTTTGTTTGAACGGAAAAAAATATAACTGAAATACGTTTTGACTATTATGCAGTCAAAACGTTATTCGGTTATATTTTTTTTGAAAAATAGTTATAAGACTTGTTTGGATAATGAAATAAACTGCAACGAATAAATATATTAAAAAAAATTAACTATCATCTGGTCCATATATTTTTGAATAGAAAACAAGACATTAAATATGTTAGAAAAGTAGTAAAAACTGTTCTCTACTGTATCGTTGATTTTATAGCATATAGCGTATAACATTGTGAGCCTTGTACAAAATACATGTATATTATTTGCTCTGCGGATTTCAACCCATATACCATAAAAATTAGACATAATATTAAATATTAGTATCTACGATATGTTAGTATTAAGTTATTTTTATAAATAAAGGTCTATCCATCAAAGAAAAAACTATAAACTCCAAGAAATCTAATTTAGATATACAAGTATTTTCAGTTCTGTCTCATTAGGGCTTCTTAATGTAAAAGAAATTTTCGATTTTTTTATGTAACTAGCATTGCAAACATGCTCAAGGTCCACCTGATAATTGGCAAGCACTGTTCATATAATTGAACTTGAATGGTAACGGATAAAAGATCATCAAGTAACGTCCAGGATACTATTTATGCGTTGCCATTCAGGAGATCTAAGATGTCATGCCGTACCCTAAAATTTCACTCCCATATCTCACCCTTGAACCGAAACGCTTATTACGAAACAAGCTGATTGGTGGCTGATGTAGGTGAGACAGAGGTAGGTACATACGCATACGACTTCGTACAAAGTCTAGCTCGGAAATAACAATCTTAATAACGTTATAAACGCGAAAGTTTGTATGATGTGTGAGTATAGATGAATGGATGTTTGTTACTCATTGCTAAAAACTACTGAACGGATTTTGATTCAACTCTACACTAATATAGCTTATTCATCAGAATAACATAGGCAATAATTTAAGAAGATACTATGTAAAGTGGGCGAACTATATCTAATGATAAATGACAAGTAAGTGTCATGCAGACGAAGTTGCGCGGGTCAGCTAGTGAACTGTAAAACGTTAATAAGTTTATGACTATCTCATATATTAAGCTAAGATGAGTTTGTTAAAGTTTGAGTTTTTAACCAATCTATTAGAAATAGAAATAATCATTATTCGAACTACAAGCACTGAATAGTCAAGTTTTTTATTCTACCGCTTATTTGACATGCAGATTCATCATAAGAAGAATAAACAAGAAACTTGTGTGTTGCTCTTTTAAATAAATATTGATTTACTTATATTTAATTAACAACAAGGATTAGGCATGCGACAATCAACATAGAAACCGCTACGCACTTAATCTCTGTTCAATCAGATAACATTGTCAGCGCTATGAAATTTAAGTTAGATATTTGATATAGAATTTAAATTTTTTCTACAAAAACATTATTATTGTTAGTATGTTATTAATTATAACTAGTTAATTAATAAGTTATATTAAATATTATATATATTACCAGTAGATATACCAGTCTTACCATATTGTCTATGTATTCGTGGCTCTCGTATTCAGTTGTTAGTGATCGAGGCATGGACAATTAATCTATGGTATCGATACAGCCACCTTACCGCTGTTTAAACTGGATTTTATTTTACCTGGATACGTGCCTCAGGCAATCCGATCTTTTCAGCAAGTCGCTCCCTCGCGAACACGTCGGGGTAGTGGGTTCTTTCGAATTCTGTGAACGTATAAACTGAATTAGATATGTGTGTTGTGATATTGAAACTATTGGCGGTATACCTCAGGAAAGAACAAACAAACATAAACACAAAGTGAATAAAATAAACAATTTTGTAGAAATATTATAGGAAAATGTTTTATACCAGCTATAATTCGCCACGTTGCCCACGAGAATTTGGGTAAAAAGTATTCTACAATTATTAATTGTATTCTACAATTAAAAATCATACCTACATATTGTAATAATATGTAGGTATGATGCAATTAAAAATCTTTATTAATAATAATAAAATAATATTGTACGATAATTCATACAGCGCCATCAAGGTGAGCAAAGTTTGTGTCATGGGTACTAGACAACTCTTGTAAATACATACTTAATATACATACAAATGTTTGTACCGTGCGAGGAATCGAACTCGCGACCATTCGAATTAAGGCGGCGGCGGTAAACCGCTAGACCATCGAGGCCGTCAAAGTTATTCTTCCCCTCATAAACAATACATATGTATGATTTATCGTATCCTATATAAAAAAATGTTTTATTATTACTATAAATATTAAGGAAAGGAAATCCCTGATACATCTATATTACCTACAATAAAACTGTTATTACTATTGGAGCAAATGTGATAATGCAATAAAACAAATAAAAACAGAGAGATTACGGTTGTCCACAGACAATAATTGGCCCCAGTGCCAGCCGACGAGAGTTCTACAAACACTGATGTTTATTTATTTTCTAATAACTGCGGGACAATATTTATTTACTAATACCACTGCAAGCAAACAATAAATAAGATGAAAGGGAGAAATGAGCTTATTAAGACTCAAGGGAGCACTTGCTGCAGTTCGATGTGTACCAGATTTTCGGCTTACTGATTTGACATCAAGTGTTTCAAAATATAATCTAACTATTTAATATATAGCGTGTTGTGAGTATGGATGGGTGTTTGTTACTCTTTCACGCAAAAACTACTGAACGAATTTTGATGAAACTTTACAGAAACGTAGCTTATACATCAGAATAACACATAGATTATAATTCAAAAAGATATTATGTCAATTGGGCGATATATAATGATAAGCGTTATGCAGACGAAGTCACGTGGGTTAGCTAGTAATATTATAAGGTGGAGTTCTTTTTAGTTCCGTTTGCTACCTAATAACCTAATTACCCGATCATCAATCAATAATATATAACATACACATTACTGTGGTACAGGTTTCGACCTTGTTCAGACACCAGACTCTCACAAGGAATAAATTAAAAGTATAAATATAATTTATTTACATGCTAAAATTCCTTGTGAGCAGTAAAATAAAGATTATTATAGATAATCGAGTTAAAATCGAGTCAAATTATTTTAGAAGAAATAAGATATTTACCTGTCTCTAGGACAGGTAAATATCTTTCTTCTAAAGTAATTTGTGCTGAGAGCCAATTGTCTATATTAATAATTTGTTTTTTAATAGATCAACATAGAATGGTGCACACGCCTGAACTGAAATTTACATTTGGTGTTTTGTTTAAAATAGATAAACTCAAAAGTCCTTGGCCGATTTAATAAATTACTGACTGGGCAGCTTTTATGAATTTAGAGTACGTACCAAATCTTATTGATATTATAAATGCGAAAGTTTATAAGTATGGAACTACTGTAACTACTGAACGGATTTTGATAAAAATGAAAACGCGGGCACAGCTAGTATATTTACGTGAAGTCTATGTGAAGTTTATGTGAAGTCAGTGCTACTCGCGTTTATATTTAGATTATATTTATTCATAGATGAATGTTACCTTTTTCCAGGCTGTCTATTTGGTCATTGGTGAAGGAGGTCCGATTTCTCTGCAGTTTCCTTTTCAGTCGTAACCTCATCTGCGAATCCTCGTCTCCTGACGACGCGTGTTCGCTATTGCCGTCTGACCCCGCCTCGGATTGAAGAGCATCTATTATAAAAAAAAAATACAAAATTAAAATATTCGCGCAAAACCTGATCATCTAGGGTCAAGTATATGATCGATAAGAGAATAATCAAAATCAGTTGCAAATTGATTAACTATGAATCAAATTATGTATTTTTTTGAAGTCGGATCAAAAGGGTCTTCATCATAAACTATCAACACAAAGTACTCCAACAAAACGTTGCTCTCGACAACTATCAAGCAAATGCGTAAGCAGAATTGCACAAAATTGTTACCCCAGAATTACAGACAAAAATTATCTCTAAACGATCCACTGAACTACACGACGGTACAATTTGTATTGCCAAAGGGTTCTACTTATAATAGTCGTATACCCCAAGTGGCAGTAACTTGGGGCGGTAGCAAAATTAAATGTTACTCGTAATGCTGTCGACATGCCCCTAGCTAATTGATTAATTTGCTTTATGGTCGGACCACTTCAGTCTGGGTTCGATTCCCGAGTTAGTAATGTGTACACGGGCTGATGGGCGCACTGAATGGGCCGACTGTTACGCAATCTGTCACATTTTTCTGATCATACGCTGTTTAGATGGGCATGTGCTCATGTAAGTACCAATCACTAAGTACGAGTAGAGTCTGCTTGTCGAACATCCCTGGCGATATGCAGATTTATTATTCAACTACAATCCCTAGAAACTTTGGTTATGTAAAATGGGAATAATCGTATACAAGGTGTAGCAAAATTAAAGATATTTCAATCTCAATTTGAGAATTTTGTGTATATTGTAATAACAGAAAAATGTTTATACGAACCGAAAGAACAATGAGAATACTATTATATTCTATTTTACATTTAATTGTTGTTCAAAATTGTTTCATATGATTGCATATTTTGCATCAAAATTAGTGTTGTAAAAGTACTGTTGTCTCTTTTATGGCTATGTTTATGAAAACACAGCGGTCGTACCTATTCCTTTTTTGAAATCGATTAAAAGTGAGTTAATTTGTAATTACTGATATATATGTACATGAATATGACTCATAATATGACATATAATGTGTGGTTATTAAATAATTAAATCTGTTTAATATAATCAACATGTAGGTATTATTTATTGTTAATATAAGTAATTATTTAATATATTTACTTATATAATCTTTCTTATTTATCTCACGTCCTTTTAGTATTGTTACCGGCGTTTTTGCTCGTCGGCCCAAAAACCTGACATATAAATTATCCTCAACATCCAACCCTAGGTTATAACTCTCAAGAATACAGCCATGAGACGTTTTACTGCCAAATAAAAACGCTAGTTTTATGGCACCTATATAAGTAAATAAGGTATATGTGGATTGAATAGGTAATTAAAATAAAAAGTTAGATAATCTTTACATAAAATTAAGGTCTACAAATATACTATGAATTTTAATTAAAAATGACCTACTTTATTTATGTATACGTATAATTAGTAAAAATCACGGGATCTTACCACGTTTTATATTTATAGGGAACTCAGCTGAATAAATATAAAACGTGGTAAGATCCCGTGATTTTTACTAATTATACATATAAATAATGACCGCGTCAAGTATTTTATACTAGACTACTACAGTTTATTTATGTACTTTATTACAATATTGAGATGCAAATTAAAATTATTTACTTATTTAAATAAAATATTAACGCACTTTTAGAATTGTAACGATATATTAAGTTATCGAAGTTTACATAAGTATCCCTAACGTTTTCGAAAATATTCTATAATGATAAAAGAATTTTTCGTGTCGGTCCCGTAGTTTCGGAGGTCATTTAAAACAAATTATCACATTTTTCCTTTTTATACTATTAATATAGACCTAGTATATATTCATACATAATGATACTTAACTGCATAGAGGTGTAGTATACACCTCTATGCAGTAATTATATCTTTCAGTTCTAAAACAGCATATAAAATAATTCGTATTAATTTCACCACAGAGTAAATAAACATTACGTTTTAAATTAGTTCGGAACTTCCGCAGGAAAATGAAACCTAAATTGAGTCTATGCAACCACCTGTAGTGTTGAAATGTTGTCCTGAAAACTGTTTGGTACGTCAGTTTCATGTACAAAAATTTCGTACGTTTTTACATTATATTTCGTAGTAAAAAATATACAATAGAAAATGCTGGAAAATTTTAGGTAGGGTCGCTCGTAATTAAGTGTTTTTTTTTTAAATCTATAATTTACTTAAGTAATCATTAGATGACTCTAAGTGTAAAAAGGGATAATAAGAATAGGAAGAAACTGCTGAAATGTAAAGTAGCATAATTTCATATATGCATTATTTTGTTCTAAGTTACAATTTAAGTGTCTAATTTATGTGGTGTGTTTGTAAGGATATTATTCATATAATTGGAATGGCCAATAAGCTAAAGGCCCACCTGATGGTAAGTGATAACCGCCTATATACATGATCTATACTACGGATATCACATTTTCTTGTGACTAAGAATGGCTACGCATGAGGCGTCCCCATTTTAGACGAATAAGATGTCATGATTTTTTTTAATGCATAATAATGGAATTGCACCCATCGGCGCTAAAGGTATAACCACATTGCTAATGGTTATTAGTCCACAGTACTAACAGTCCCCTCGCGAGCCTGTATTAGACTACAAGACAAAACGTTCCATTTCACATAAGCGCACACCCGAGACGCGTTCCATTTCACTCGAATATGATTGATGCGGGACATTCGCTCAGCAAAACATGGCGAACTTTCCAATCGGTTGACAATTTTGATTGATCACTCGACAACTGCGACGGTGTGCTCACGCCTTTACCGCGTGACGGCACCACTAATGAGACCTTGTAATACAAAAGATTTGATTTTAGATATCTGTTCACCGCAACAATAACAAAAACAGACAGACACTTCCGCATTTATTATATCAGAATGGACATTATTTACCCATTTATAAAAAAATACAAATACTTACTAAATTTTATGTTTATATAAATCCTAAAACACTCGTTGTAATTCATTGTACAGTAATCAAGAATTCTATCAATCACTTATTATTACTTGTTTCAGCAGCGTACTATGGAATATAAAGGAAGAATTCATTATAAAAATCGATTCGAGTCGACGGCACTTAGCCACAATCCCACCAATAACGACCTACAAATGATTGAAGAAAAAACTTCCTCGATATTCAACAAAAAGGCCGAGGGAGGATGAAACACGAAAAATACATAAGAGAAAATAATAGTAGTAAGAAAATAAGAAAGGAACGAAATAAAAGTGGGGGCGGTGAAAAAATTGGAGAAAATAAGCACAAAGGGGAGCGAAGAAAGTCGGGACTCGGGGAGATAAGGCGGAATTGGAGTTATCGGGGCGAACAGGACGGTCGTAGGTGGGGGCGATTGCCGCCACGATTATGTGAGATCGATACTGTCACTCACGGGCCGCGGGATGCTGTCCCGTGGTCGGCGGGCAGCGAGCGTCGAGCATCGAACACCGCGCATCGAACACCGCGCACCGAGCACCGGCGTCTTACAATCAATCGAGTACAAGAGTATTCGATTACAATCGATTGTAATACGCGCATTTATTGCGAGTCACATTGTAATTTGTATTAAGTATCTGGACGGATATATTAAAAGAATATAGTTAAACAATTTTGCAACTGTTATGTAACTGTTATACAAGAAGTTTTAAGTGAGTACTTCAGTCTGTTTGTATATACCTTAGTTTTGACAAGTGTACAAACTCAATACTAATAAGACATAATGTGACAAAATGTCTAATTGAAAATTATAATAATTATAGTATTAAGAGCCATAACTAAAAAGATATCCTTTAGTTTTCATACTAACATGCCACAGTAAATACTAAGATTACAAAATTATTTTATTTTGAATTTCTTTGGAATCAATTCAATAGACAAAACGAATATTAATTATGTCTATTTTTACGTATTACATAGGTTTTCAAATAGATTAATTATGATCATAGATCTGAAATCATATTATATTATTTTCGTAAACCGCTATCGCTTTTGAATCGGCCCAATCAACCGGACACGGCACAACTGCCTAATTTCGCTATGCCTCCTCAAAAGAAATTTTCATGCCTTTTGGTAAATATGGAAAAACAATAATTACTTTTAATCTAATCTAATTATTTGGCATTGCTGTTCAAAGTTGTATTTATAAATAAGAATGATCAAATAGGCATTTAGCCGAAACACACTAGATGTGTAGAATCATTAGATTTGCCAAAATCAATGGTGGTTTATCGTAATAGATAACATAATAACAGTATAAAATAAATATGGTATCCATGAATAAAAATAGTATAATAAAAAAATCTTGTGAATTTATCAAAGACTATTAAAATTGTATGCTATCTTTAACGGCCTTTCAATAAATATATTTTGTAAATAGATTTTTATGATTATTTTATTGTCACCAAGGGGAAAGGTCAAGTTAAATCGGTTGTTTGTAATCAACCATCCCCTTAATGTCCCCGGTAGGGCCATCAGAGTTACAGTGGGGCGAGGTTTGGTTTTTATTACTGTTAGTTCAAATGAGTCAATTGATGGCACTAATGTATGATCTCTTGGGATGCTGGGGATTTTATTGTGATTTAATTACGGCCTATGGTGCAAGGTTTCTAGATGACTCTCAAAAAGTGACCAGCCCAATAAAAGCTTTAAAAAAACATTCTACTCACTAAATAGTAATAGAATCATTATCGGTTCTGTTTATACAGATTATCCAGATTATTGAGTATTTGTACTGCTAATAATGTTGTTTTTATTTATTACCCATGATTGATAGAAAACAACATTAGGTATTCTACTAAATATACTACTTACTAATATAATAGTCCTTCCTTTTTATTATTTAATTATACACGCTTTCAAAATTATATGAAAATCTGTCTATTGTCTGCGTATCGAATATCAATCAATAATTAAGCATATATACGTACATTTTTAGCAAAGTAGACTTTGAAATCCAAACAACGTCT